AAAAATGGGGTGAGAGAGGCTCGAACTCTCGACCTCAGGATCACTCAACAAGCTATGAGACCTACGCGCTAGCCAACTGCGCCACCACCCCTAGATGTGAATACAGTTATTCCAATAATATACCTGTTCAAATTAATTTATCCTGCAGTGATTCACTGTTACCTTTGTGAGTTAATGCTAAAATTTACAAGATTTTATCAACGATTCTTCAATTTGGGAAGAAGCGTGTTTGTTTATTCTGCTGTGAGATATATTTGTCATCTCCACTAATTAATGCTCATACTTTTGAACTCACCAAGCCTCATATATATCTGCAGGGATGCATTTCTCATTACATAAATGATAAATCTACTAATAAGTAATAAACCAATCTTAAAATATATATAAAAAAATTAATTGAGAAAATCAACAATTTGAAAAGAAAAAAAAAACCAACGATGAATATTTCAAGAACATTGATCTCGTAAAATGCTAACAACCTCGTCCCGTTGGCAATCGGTCAATTCTTCCGGAAACTCGACCATGAACTTAAGCCTAAGATCACCTCTCACCATCAATCCTTCTTCTTTATTCTTAGGCATTCCTTGTCCTAGAATAATCTTTTCATAACCAGGATATATTATTTCATCTATACAAATTTCTAGCTCTTCTCCACCTAATAAAGGCACAGAAATCGTGCACCCCGTGAGAGCTTGCACCAGTGGTACCTCGACTCCCACCTCCAAATCGTCTTCTTTTCGTTCGAACAACGGATGGATTTTCTCGTCCACGGCGAATATTATGTCGGCAGGAAGTGATCCCGGCCGTTCGTCTCCTTTCCCTTCGAACACGATCTTTGTTCCGTTTTTCCACCCGGGCTTGACTTTGATCATTAGTGTGTCTTCTTCTTGCACTATTAACCTGCGCGTGTCGATCAAAACAAAAGGAAATGTTACGGCGCCTCATCTAAAAGTTTAAGTTGTTAGTGAGGTGAATCAGTTCTGAACGTCGTTTCGATCGGAATGAACATTACGGTACATTTGTTGAAATGAATTACCACGTCATCTGAAATGTTAAGTTGTTTATTTATCATGCTGAATGACCACCTTACGTTATCTTAAAGTAATAAGGTGTTAGTCACGTGAATCATTTAATTTTTTTATATTATAAATGTGGAAGTGCTAAATGTCATGATTTCAGTTTTATTGGTATTCTGACTTCAAATGTGATTTTGACTCTTCAGTTCGAATTTGGCAAAACTCAAAGCAACTAATTTGCAGTCCTTAGAGTTAACTTTTTAATCTAGCATGAATCGGCTAAATTAGATATTGCCTGAGAAAGTTATGCATGAAGGAATAAAAAGCTATATTGTAGCTCTTTCAATCGTCTTTCTAACCCAACTCGAGTCAACTAAATTGGTGGTTGGATTGAAAACGAAGTGCGTAATGTAAAATTGAAACAACATTTAACATTTCAGTATATTTTATGTTTCGACTTATATATATATATTTCGTACCCGCTGCATGAGATGGCATCCCTTGTGATATCGATCTTCTTGACGCATCCGAAGCACAAATCCTCGAGGGTGCATTCGAGCTTTCTCTCCACGGGCGGAGGCTTCCTCCGAGCGGCTGATTGGGAAAAGAAAATCGGGGTCGTCATGTTTCGTCCGCTCGCCGTTTTCGAAAGAAACGTTTGTTGCTTCCTCGGTGTTTGTGGGCTCGAGGGGGCGCTCCCTCCCGACAGATTTTCTTGAAAATCGGATATTATCACCGGCGGCGGCAACGGGTTAATCGTGGATAAATTCGGCGACGGGATCGGGCTGATCCAGCTCGTGGTACGAGAGAGAAGCTTCGGGCTCGAAATGTGCAGCTCTTCTTCATGATCTTCGTACGGACATCTTCACCCTGAGA